AACATCTCCTTTTGTATTCTACAGAAAAAAAGGCATGCAGTTTAAAATAAAATGAGGGTGAGTTAATGATGTCAGAATTGTCATTTTTGGGTGAGCAAACCCTTAAAAACACATACACATCCTCATTGTCCAGATGAGGAAGGGCTGACAGCACGCATGAAAGGACGTTCGGCCGGCATGCACGGCAGACACTATCTCTCTAATGGCAGAATAATGAGGGATGCTTGGCTTTAACACTGCGATAGCATCTCGCCATGGTAGAAATAGCAGCAGACGCTGCCTAACCAGGGGGCATTATGATTTATAAAAAGTGTGGAGGCCTGACAGTTATGGAAGGAGCTCTTCCTTAAAGAAGGCATGAGGCGGAGATGGAAATTGAACAGTATCAGTATGACCGATAACAAACGACAGGACCACTGACTGCACATTAATTATCCACAGACGCTATGGTAATGGGGGCCATTTGCTATGCAAAGCATGGCTTGTCCGAAGCCACAATCAATATCCAGCACTTTCTATGTATTCCGCTCAGCTTGGCTTTGCTCTCTCTCCCTCGCTCGTTTGTTTTCTCTCTCTTTGAAATGGCTGCAGAATAGTCTGAGGATTCATGGCTTATTATCTTAAAGTGCCCCTATTTGGCTTTTTCGGATATTATCTTTCATGTGGTGTGTAATATGTAGCTGTTTGTGAATGTACCGTAAAAGGTCTGAAAAGTTTTAAAACATCTAAGAGCAGATAAACTTATGTGTGTTTATAACAAATTTGCACAAAGCCAGCCTGTGGTTTTCACTGATGGCCGGTGAACAACATCTACTTTTCCTCGCTCAAACTCTGTAGTTGTAACTGAGACTGGAAGAATTTTGTTTGTGTTGTTGACATGTAGAGAAGACACTGTTTTCTGCTCTGCAAAAGTAAGTCCTCTTTACATGTACTTCCAACGGATGATATTGGTTGATACAGTAAAACCGAAGCCACATTCTGCAAGCGGTCGACCAATCACAACAGATTGGGCCATCTGACCAATCAGAGCAGAGTAGACAACTCACCACAGACTGGGCCATCTGACCAATCAGAGCAGAGTAGACCAATCACAACAGACTGAGCCATCTGACCAATCAGAGCAGAGTAGAGCATTCACAACAGACTGGGAAATCTAACCAATCAGAGCAGAGTAGACCAATCACAACAGACTAAGCCATCTGACCAATCAGAGCAGAGTAGACCAATCACAACAGACTGGGCCATCTGACCAATCAGAGCAGAGTAGACCAATCACAACAGACTGAGCCATCTGACCAATCAGAGCAGAGTAGACCAATCACAACAGACTGGGCCATCTGACCAATCAGAGCAGAGTAGACCAATCACAACAGACTGGGCCATCTGACCAATCAGAGCAGAGTAGACCAATCACAACAGACTGGGCCATCTGACCAATCAGAGCTGAGTAGACCAATCACAACAGACTGGGCCATCTGACCAATCAGAGCAGAGTAGACCAATCACAACAGACTGAGCCATCTGACCAATCAGAGCAGAGTAGAACCAATCACAACAGACTGAGCCATCTGACCAATCAGAGCTGAGTAGACCAATCACAACAGACTGAGCCATCTGACCAATCAGAGCAGAGTAGACCAATCACAACAGACTGGGCCATCTGACCAATCAGAGCAGAGTAGACCAATCACAACAGACTGGGCCATCTGACCAATCAGAGCAGGGCAGACCAATCACAACAGACTGAGCCAACTGACCAATCAGAGCAGAGTAGACCAATCACAACAGACTGAGCCATCTGACCAATCAGAGCAGGGCAGACCAATCACAACAGACTGAGCCAACTGACCATCAGAGCAGAGTAGACCAATCACAACAGACTGAGCCATCTGACCAATCAGAGCTGAGTAGACCAATCACAACAGACTGAGCCATCTGACCAATCAGAGCTGAGTAGACCAATCACAACAGACTGGGCCATCTGACCAATCAGAGCAGGGCAGACCAATCACACAGACTGAGCCATCTGACCAATCAGAGCAGAGTAGATCAATCACAACAGACTGGGCCATCTGACCAATCAGAGCAGAGTAGACCAATCACAACAGACTGGGCCATCTGACCAATCAGAGCTGAGTAGACCAATCATAACAGACTGGGCCATCTGACCAATCAGAGCAGGGCAGACCAATCACAACAGACTGAGCCAACTGACCAATCAGAGCAGAGTAGACCAATCACAACAGACTGGGCCATCTGACCAATCAGAGCAGAGTAGACCAATCACAACAGACTGGGCCATCTGACCAATCAGAGCTGAGTAGACCAATCACAACAGACTGGGCCATCTGACCAATCAGAGCAGAGTAGACCAATCACAACAGACTGGGCCATCTGACCAATCAGAGCTGAGTAGACCAATCATAACAGACTGGGCCATCTGACCAATCAGAGCAGGGCAGACCAATCACAACAGACTGAGCCAACTGACCAATCAGAGCAGAGTAGACCAATCACAACAGACTGGGCCATCTGACCAATCAGAGCAGAGTAGACCAATCACAACAGACTGGGCCATCTGACCAATCAGAGCTGAGTAGACCAATCACAACAGACTGGGCCATCTGACCAATCAGAGCAGGGCAGACCAATCACAACAGACTGAGCCAACTGACCAATCAGAGCAGAGTAGACCAATCACAACAGACTGAGCCATCTGACCATCAGAGCTGAGTAGACCAATCACAACAGACTGAGCCATCTGACCAATCAGAGCTGAGTAGACCAATCACAACAGACTGGGCCATCTGACCAATCAGAGCTGAGTAGACCAATCACAACAGACTGGGCCATCTGACCAATCAGAGCAGGGCAGACCAATCACAACAGACTGAGCCAACTGACCAATCAGAGCAGAGTAGACCAATCACAACAGACTGAGCCATCTGACCAATCAGAGCTGAGTAGACCAATCACAACAGACTGTGCCATCTGACCAATCAGAGCTGAGTAGACCATTCACAACAGACTGGGCCATCTGACCAATCAGTGCTGGGTAGACCAATCACAACAGACTGGGCCATCTGACCAATCAGAGCTGAGTAGACCAATCATAACAGACTGGGCCATCTGACCAATCAGAGCAGGGCAGACCAATCACAACAGACTGAGCCAACTGACCAATCAGAGCAGAGTAGACCAATCACAACAGACTGAGCCATCTGACCAATCAGAGCAGAGTAGACCAATCACAACAGACTGGGCCATCTGACCAATCAGAGCTGAGTAGACCAATCACAACAGACTGGGCCATCTGACCAATCAGAGCAGGGCAGACCAATCACAACAGACTGAGCCAACTGACCAATCAGAGCAGAGTAGACCAATCACAACAGACTGAGCCATCTGACCAATCAGAGCTGAGTAGACCAATCACAACAGACTGAGCCATCTGACCAATCAGAGCTGAGTAGACCAATCACAACAGACTGAGCCATCTGACCAATCAGAGCAGAGTAGGCTTGTGGAAATGTGGAAATGTGCAATTTAGAGAGAGAGGATCCTTAATCAAACTCAATGATAAACGTAAAGATTCGTCAAGATCCGAACACCACGCACATATAACGTTTCATGCATGAGCATATTCGGAACCGCACTCTCACAATGACAAGACGGTAGGAGTTTCACCAAACAAGAATAAACCAGGACCAAGTGAGTTTGTCGCTCATTATTCTCAATAACGATTCTCATTAGTAGGGCTGGGTAATAAATATCGATTTCTCGATATTAATCAATTGTCATTTTTACGGACCGATATCGATTCTTAAATCTCAAAAATCGATTAGTCATCCTGTTTCATTTGAATGAATGGATCATTGTATCGCGGCTGCGCAGATCCAAAAAATCGCAATAATCTTTGTCCTTTGTTACTATTGATATGAAACAAAGTCTCAACTTTCAAATTACGTCCATTTTCTTTAGAAATTCAAAAACATAAATAGTGTTTTGGCGTTTTGGCGTGAGATCGCTCTAGAGAAGCAGCAGCGCTGATCTCTCTTCCGGCTTAATAATACCAGCTACACCGCCAAATAAACATGAATGAGCATCTGAAAGTGTGTTAAAGATAGAGTACAACTTATCCAAATCCGGATCATGTAACATTGATTCGCTCAATCAGCGTTTCAACCGTGGAAAGACGTCAGTTAAACAGCTTGTAATCAATGTGATCGTCATATTTACCTCAGAAAACCGACATAAACTCGTTAGTCAGCTAGAAAAAAATAACTCTAGAGAGGAGCATTTTGCTAAATATTATATACATTATAATCTTAATGTTCTTCAATATTTAATGAATATTTGAATAAATCTGGCAAGTTTTTATGACAGCCACCATGTAAATGTTTATATTTCATATAATCTTCTTATTATAAAAATAAATAAAAGTGTAATTTAAGTGTTTGTATACAAAACAGTTCATTATTACCTTCATATTAGGCTAATGAAGCCTATAGGCTACAACTAGACTCCCATAGTTTACAGCATTAGTTAAGAGATTTTGATTTCCTTGAGAAAATTTGCCATTTATTGTAACGGATATCCAAAATAATCAATATTGAATTGAATCACAATCGAAGTCAAATCAAATTGCAACCTTGTGAATCGAAATTGAATCGAATTGTGAAATACCCAGCCCTACTCATTAGTCTTTATTGAAATAAACTAATTACAGTACAAATCACTCCAATCCAGTGCATTCAGTAGTTCTTTAGCTACACTACCAACACTGTCGATGGTGTTTGACTCTGCACTGCCATCTATAGACGTGGATCCGCATGAGTTTTATGGACATTTTTCAACGTTCAATGAAAAAGAAGCGTCACTCCTCAGGATTCTCCTCAAGTTTCCTCCTAAGTAAATAAAAAAATTTGTTCTGTTTTCTGATTTTCTCCTTTTTTGAAGAATTTGTGAGAACATGAAAGAACAAAAGACATTTTCTCTATGCAAAACAGAATTACTTTTTTAAAGGAGCAATGTGTGATTTTTAGCGGCATCTAGTGGTGAGACTTGCGAATTGCAAACGGCAAGTCACTCGCGGCCTCTCCCTCCAATTGCAAACTCTATTTTGAAGCTACGGTGGCCAACGTAGGATAAAGTCAAAGAGAATAAACTATGTCGTCGTCTGAGTCTGCAGAGAGTAGCAAGACAAGCAATGAGGTTAGGGTTATATTTATTAAATTCTATTTTCTTTATTTTACAGTAAATCAACATGTTTTTGCGATTGTTATTTGATCATCATTGTGTTGGTGTTTTAATTCACAGACTTTACCATAGTTTCTATGCTATTTAGTTAGAACAAGGTAAGAGCTAAGGGTAAGAGCATCAAATCAGCTACGTAAGGGGAAATAGTTAACGTTATGATTTCCGAGGCATCACTCGGACAGCATTGTTTATACACGTTTTCAGAGTCAGGAACAACCTGAATACGCACCAGAGGTAACTGGAAGAGGGAGAGGGAGAGGGAGAGGAAGAGGAAGAGGACGGAGAGGCAGAGGTGTTGTAGGTGCAGTCAGGGAAGGGAGAGGCAGAGGAGGACCTACCCGCCGGATCGATGGCTCAGAGGATGAAGAAAGAGTTTTAGCCCTCCAAAGGAACCGGAGAGCTGTTACTGAGGTTTGTATTTATAAAGTTATTGTAACGTTATTATATTCTGACCTGTCTGCACTTTATAAAATCCAAGCACACAATGATAACGTTATTTACATAGTAGCTCTGTGCACATGTACCCCTGTTACTGTAACGTTAGTTAATAGTTTAATGATTTCATAGTTTAACCTGTCATTTACTGAGCAACAATGATTATATGAAGCAATATTACACAAGTTTAGCTAATACTGGCCAGACTTTAAACCCCATATGGTACCATATTCTCAACATATGTAATATTTAAAATATGTACATCATTTATCAGAATCAGAAATTGTGTATTGATAACCTATAGGATATTCTGGGTCAAATTTGCTAAGCTTGCATGTCAAGATACTAAGAAAAAGAAATCACTATATAAAGTAGGTAACCAGAAAATATAATACAATAAACAAATTCTAAAATATAATAGTTAATTTTGAGTGGATACTATATTAAAAACAACATTATTGAGACAGTAACCAGAGTATATAAATTGAGAATATTGCATATTGATTATTTTTCCCTGTGTCCCTTTTCTTCAGAGACTTCTACAGGAGATGACCCTAGAAGAACACCGAGAGCTCTCCACCCTTCTGCTTGAGAGACAGCCAGGCCTGGTCTTTGATGCCTTGATAATGCATCAGCGCAGACACGGTGCTCCACCTTCTGCTGGAGTCCCAGAAGTACCTTGGTGTACTTGTGGTAACTGTCGGGAAATGCCTACGGACCAGGAGAGGAAATGCTGTGGCCAGGATCAAGCTAACTGTGTGAGCCTAATGCCTCACTTCTCCCAGTACTGCCTTGAAGAAGGCTTTATTCGCATTCACAGACAGTACCGGGAGGACATTACGGCATTAGGCAACATCAGGGAGCCTGGGGATGACAACCGAGAGTACCGTTATGGAGCCTATAGACACTTTATCTATTGGCAACATGGAGCTTTAGGCCAGGGAAACCGACTTGTCATTCCCAGCTGTTGTGTACGGAGGATCAGGGACAAGTTCCCTGATCCTCAAGGACACTACACTGGTTTTATTCCTGGACTATGAATTTCCTTCCAGGCCCTCTGGCATGTTCATACAGTTTCCACAAGTACTCCCAAATCTGCCTCAGCATCATCAAGGCATCAAACCAATGTACATATTTACCGTTTGATTTATTATTTTTCTATATACACTCACCGGCCACTTTATTAGGTACCCCATGCTAGTAACGGGTTGGACCCTCTTTTGCCTTCAGAACTGCCTCAATTCTTCGTGGCATAGATTCAACAAGGTGCTGGAAGCATTCCTCAGGGAGTTTGGTCCATATTGACATGATGGCATCACACAGTTGCCGCAGATTTGTCGGCTGCACATCCATGATGCGAATCTCCCGTTCCACCACATCCCAAAGATGCTCTATTGGATTGAGATCTGGTGACTGTGGAGGCCATTTGAGTACAGCGAACTCATTGTCATGTTCAAGAAACCAGTCTGAGATGATTCCAGCTTTATGACATGGCGCATTATCCTGCTGAAAGTAGCCATCAGAAGTTGGGTACATTGTGGTCATAAAGGGATGGACATGGTCAGCAACAATACTCAGGTAGGCTGTGGCGTTGCAACGATGCTCAATTGGTACCAAGGGGCCCAAAGAGTGCCAAGAAAATATTCCCCACACCATGACACCACCACCACCAGCCTGAACCGTTGATACAAGGCAGGATGGATCCATGCTTTCATGTTGTAGACGCCAAATTCTGACCCTACCATCCGAATGTCGCAGCAGAATTCGAGACTCATCAGACCAGGCAACGTTTTTCCAATCTTCTATTGTCCAATTTCGATGAGCTTGTGCAAATTGTAGCCTCAGTTTCCTGTTCTTAGCTGAAAGGAGTGGCACCCGGTGTGGTCTTCTGCTGCTGTAGCCCATCTGCCTCAAAGTTCGACGTACTGTGCGTTCAGAGATGCTCTTCTGCCCACCTTGGTTGTAACGGGTGGTTATTTGAGTCACTGTTGCCCTTCTATCAGCTCGAACCAGTCTGGCCATTCTCCTCTGACCTCTGGCATCAACAAGGCATTTCCGCCCACAGAACTGCCACTCACTGGATGTTTTTTCATTTTCGGACCATTCTCTGTAAACCCTAGAGATGGTTGTGCGTGAAAATCCCAGTAGATTAGCAGTTTCTGAAATACTCAGACCAGCCCTTCTGGCACCAACAATCATGCCACGTTCAAAGTCACTCAAATCACCTTTCTTCCCCATACTGATGCTCGGTTTGAACTGCAGGAGATCGTCTTGACCATGTCTACATGCCTAAATGCACTGAGTTGCCGCCATGTGATTGGCTGCTTAGAAATTAAGTGTTAACGCGCAGTTGGACAGGTGTACCTAATAAAGTGGCCGGTGAGTGTATATTTATTACTATTGTTCCCATTTTTATGTCATTTTAATTTATGTTTTACAGTTATATATATTGTTATAGTTGTTCATCTGTAGTTCTATGTTATTGAAAAAATAAAAGTTAAGAAATAGAAAAGCATGGTGTTTTATTTTCCATTATATACATTTGAACATGTTTTTTTTAAAAGTATGACAATTTCAAAATTTGCCTTCAAATTATCAAAATCAATTTTATTTTTACATATTTTCAAAACATTATACATCTGTAGCCTTAATTCTCATTATTGATCAAAATTGAACACTTTAATTTGAGCTACCACTGAGAATAATATGCGCTGTTAACACTGTTTTTAACTCGATAAAATGAAACTAGTTGAAATCAATGATTTTGACGTTGAATTGAAATTATTTCCTTCGTGATCCTGCTGACAAGGACACATGCAAGGTGATCTCCTATGGGGATCCTTCCATATCGGATGCTGGTTGGAGTAATGGTCCTGTTGAATACAGTGCAATCACACAATTACAGACTATATTTTAAACCAAATATCATTCATTGACACGTAATAGGGTACAACATAGTAGTCAAATATTTTATTACTTACCTAGACCTCTTCTGACTTGTCTCTGCAACAATTCAGATGTGGCTGGTGCAGGTACAGGGGGCACCAAACCAAGCTGTCTTGGGTCATCTGGTCGAAGGCTCCTCCTTCTAGGCATCCCCACTCCGCTTGTGATTCTGTTATTTACAATCCTTCCTTGCAGCTCGGAAATGTATCTGTATGTTTTTTCTGTTTTCATGGCATATACACTGTATCTTCTAGCGTTCTTCTTATACAGTTTTTTGAAACTGAAAATACACAAATTATAACCATAAACCATCAAATTGTTAGTAGATCAATAGACAACCAAGAGTGTAAAGACAATCCATTGCTTAAATTATTTTTTCAAATATTGTACTTTCAATATGACTTTAATATTATTGTAAAACATACATTTCTTTCCCATCCAATGTTTTCAGTGTTGGTCGGTTCAGGTGGTAATTGTAGTCCAAAGCAGCAAGCAGAATTCTTGCCTCATAAACTGGAGGGCTGAATGCATAGCGCTTGCTAGCATACATCAGGATGTGGTTATTGAATGACTCTAGGTCTGCAGTCGATCTAATAGAACAAACAAATGTATAGTTCTGTGTAAATGAACAGTAAAACAAAAACATTAATAAAATACATTGTTCAAAAAAAAAAATATAGCCACACTACCTGAATTTCAGATATTTGTGGACATCTTTCTGCCACCTCTTATTTAGGACTATATCCACTAAAGCTTTGTGGGACTGTGAGTCTCTCTGGATCCACGCCTTTTCCCGTATTTGCTCTGATTCAAGGTGACCGTGTTGACAGCTTCCCATAGTCCATGTGTGAATGTTGCAGACATGGTGAAGGATGCCTACCCATAATGCCTTCAAAACATAAAAACGCAATTGTAAGATGTCTTTAATATAGCAATTAATGAGAATACTCAATGATAATTAAAATAAAGTGTGCTTACAAGAAATTTCTCACGTGTGTCGGCAGTCTTGCAACACCACCAAAAATGGTTGACCTTTGTTCAAGGCCCTGAATTTCAGTGGCTTCAACAATGACATCAAGATGCTCATCTCTGTAAAGAATTAACAAAGAAAGTTGTGTATATCCCACATATGCACATTCAACACTAGATATAGACCAAATATAAATTCAAATTACACAATAATCATAATGATCTCTTTTATAATTAAAGATAATAGGAAAAAATCGATAGGACATAATGCATATTTCACCTGTCTGTTCCACTGGAAGCACCTATACTTGACAATGCTGTAGCTGGGACTTGAAAAGGTTTTGTCTTCAAGGGAGTTGATGTTGTAGGACCTGTCTCATACCTGGAGAAACAACAGCAGCATCAATAAATGAAGTGCTACTTGACACTGTCGTATACGACTGTAATACATTACTGTATTGTAATTCACAATGTGTAGCATCTTTTTATGGTTTGCTCATCGGGCCTTATAAACTGAACATCCCCAAAAATATGACGTCTGGTGCAAGTATGATCACCGACAGACAACATAGCAAACGTAAGCCAATTGTGTGTAACATTATGATTGTTTCTATACAACAGTACATTATAAAAACACATCCTAGATAATGTTTACAAATCCATAATCAGGTAAGGATCAAGGTCCTTAATATGTAGAATAATTATACTGATCAGCTAACTTAATTGTCTCACGAACGTAACCAGCAAATTTCTTCTCACATAGCAAACACATAGCTAATACAGCTAACTTTAGGGAGAAGCACAAAGTTACATGAAACAAACTAACTAACGTTACATTTTACTATACTGTCTGAAACACGGTGTCAATGACTATGCTCACATTATCAAACAACAGTTTTAATTTTGATCGTTAAAGTTTGAATATCTTACCTGTCTAGCAGAAAACAGGCAACCTCGGCGTCGCTATGAAAGCCCTTTTCCCTCATAAGATCCTTCCATCTAGGAAAGGCCACACCGATGTTGACCCGCGATTTTTGTCTACGATTCTGCCTTATTTTTCTAGCTTCATCATGCTTTCTCTTCTTTGAAGTAGATTTACCCGGCGATATCGGATCTTTACCTGAACAGTAAGTGTGGTCCATCGTTATTCCGGAAATTCTGCAGCGTCTTTTTCTGCTGCTTCTGATTCCGGTTATATACGAAACGCGCTCTGTAACGATGTTTGTCCGCTGTCGGCTACAGTAGAAATATGACGTCACAACATGGCTGCCTTCATAGAAGGGGATTCCCACCCCTATGTAGATTTAAAAGACTCATTCTAAGGTAATACAAACTTTACGGTTCATTAAGTAAGGTCTTTATACACTACTAAACACATAGTTATGGATTTTATATTGCATTTCTGTCAATAGATCCACAGAATTCTTACACATTGCACCTTTAACTTATGACCTGAACATGTCATGCTTTTCACCTGTGTGTCTGTGCCCAATTTTGCAATAGTTTAGTTGATGTTGTTTCAAGCACTAGCACTGCTTTCTATTTTCAGTCTAAAACTCTAAAATTGAGCCCACGTCTTTCACATGCTCTCCTGCTATTCCTGTCTGTTTTGAGATTACTTTGATACAGAAGGCAACATGATGCCTGTTACTAGGTTACTCCATCCTTAAAATTTTAATCAGTGGGAACTGTATCACTGTCTCACTCTCTCTATTTGAAACACAGCCAATAGCCCTGGACAGCCATCAGGAAGATATGTAAATCTTATTTCATCCTTTAGATCGAAAGATCTGAAATAGCCCATACATTGACTCACCCATAGACCCTCCCCTCGAAGAAATCAGGACAGAAGGGTTTGAAAGTGGACAAAAGAGACGGATTAAAACACCAGGTGTGAACGGGAATGTGTCTACGTGTGATCCGATCGACCAAACACATATATACCAGGAGTAAACAAAGCCCTTGGGTCCATGAAAGTGAACCTAAAGCTGAACTGAACATAATGGTGACGTGTGGTTGTTTGACAGAATCTTTCTAAGTAGGCAATTCTTGGACCAGACTTTTTAATAATAGTCCTGTGTGCGTTTGTGTACGCAGATTCTTCACGGTCGGGGAAAAAAGAAAGCCGCTGTCCAACGCCTGGCTGTGACGGCACAGGTCACGTGACGGGTTTGTACCCGCATCACCGCAGCCTGTCTGGATGCCCGCATAAAGACCGAGTCCCACCAGAAAGTAAGCAAGCTCTTTCTACGTCTGCCTGCTTCTTCCTTTAAATCTTTGCTATTTTTCATGCCGGCTTAAATGAAAACAGGTCATAATCACTGGTTGTCTGTGTGTGTTTGTCTGTGGGAACTGCATGCCGTCCTCCTCCACACTAAAAACATCTGCTCATTCCTATGCAATACCTCTTACCCTTCAGCACTTTCAGCTCCATCAATGAGACGTTAGAATGGGATTTAGGTAAAAGCCTGAAATAAGATCTGTGGTTCTTGCAGCACTTTATGTTTACTGATGTTTTGCTTTTCCTGACAAAAATAATATCACTTCCTGGATGATGTTATTAACGGGCTTTCGTTGTTGTTGTACAAATGACTAACCGAAATATACAACACTATCTCACGACCAATTCGTACGAATTTGACGCATGATTAAAAAGTGTCTAACTCGTACTAATTCGTACGACCTCACTCGTACTAATTTCTACGATTTGTCTAAACCCACGTGATGGTTAGGTTTAGGGGCGGGGTCAGGGGTAGGTCATTCGTACGAATTCATACGAATTGGCCAATTCGTAAAATATGTACGATTTAGCAAAATCGTATTAATTCGTACGTGTGAGGCCGTATGAATTGTTACGAATTAGGGATGGGACGGTATGAAAATTTCATATCACGATTATAGTGTCCAAAATAATCGTGATTATCAATATTATCACGTTTTTTTTTTTAAATTTATGAAAGTGCTCAAAAAGAACTGATGCTCACACTGAAAACATTTCAACAAGTTTTATAATTGAAAATCAACAAACAACAAATAAAACAAGCCTCTCTATGCAAAATCGTATTAATTCGTACGTGTGAGGTCGTATGAATTGTTACGAATTAGGGATGGGACGGTATGAAAATTTCATATCACGATTATAGTGTCCAAAATAATCGTGATTATCAATATTATCACGTTTTTTTTTTAAAATTTATGAAAGTGCTCAAAAAGAACTGATGCTCACACTGAAAACATTTCAACAAGTTTTATAATTGAAAATCAACAAACAACAAATAAAACAAGCCTCTCTATGCAGTTTTTAAGCAAGATTCTATAGACCCTTTTACAGTTGGTAAACATGGTGACGTTTTTTTGTGGGCGGAGCTTAGGTGGAGGCAGAAAGATCCGTCTGGCCGCTTCACTAAAGCTAGTTAGCAAGGATTGTTAGCTTGTTTTTTAACAATGACTGGAGAAAATCCGATATTATCTTAATGTGTAAGCTCACTCACTGTCCAGGACTGTGATTGTTATTTCCAAAAGTTATTTTTAATAGTTTTTTGTAAAACCCAAAATGACCACACCTCAGATTTGGTCCTCTTAAAAGGCTGAAAAACCTCCTGAGCACGGTCACTGCCTTCCACCATTCCTTCTCGAATAGTAATTTAAAAAAATATTGCTTTAATGATAATTAAAAATAAAATAAAATAAGTTTTAATGATAATTAAATTTTAAACGATAATACTAACCGTCAGTACATTTTATCACGGTTTATCGTGAAACCGGTTATCGTCCCATCCCTATTACGAATTAGCCACTTTTTAATCATTCGTCGAATTCGTACGACTTGGGCGTGAGATCGGGTTGAAATATAAGTGATTGAGGACACTTGATTACTCATCAGTTGCCACAACAATAACCATATTCTTAAGAAAGCATGTTATGTTTAAAATAATTCAATTTGAAAGAGGGGGGAAACAAAACCAATAAACATCTGTAATATTGATCAGCTTTTCATGTTTCTGCGGAGTTCCTGCGGATTTGACAAAATGAACATTCACTCAAACCAAAACAGTGAAATTACTTAAAATTCACCCCTGTTCACTTCATTGAGATGTTGTGATGAAAGAAATAATAACATATTATAATAAATCATACAGTTGACGTCATCCAGTTTATTAAACTGTTCATTTCGATGGACTTTGGTCTAAAAATGAAATTCAAAATCAGTCATTGAATGACATTTTTACACCTGAATGTATGAGGATTTTGTATTAACTTGAACTTTATTTGAAGTTTTCTTGAAATAATTAAGTTCATACACTATTCAAACCTATATGAATGTTGCTATTGCTGAAGGAAGTCTGTGGCGATGTAAAGACCCGCCGCCGTCGCAGAATCACAGACATGCATGAATGCGTTTATTGTTTCTGTTGGTAATTACGACGCTATCTTAATGGAGGCCAGTTTAATAAGTTGGTTAGATTTCTCATTTTGTTTTAGATGCTCAATTAAATCCAGTTGAATAAACTGTAATAATTATAATCTGATGAAAGAGTTACAGACAGTGAGATTTCCTTTCATTCACCTTGAGCAAATCTCCTGTTAAAACATCTTTTACGTGATTCATTAAAATGCATTAATATCTGCGTGTTTTTGTTCACAAATTAACCAGATGGCAATCAAACTGATGGCTTTGACTACTGACTGAAATTAGTTCACAAAAAGATTTGCTTGTAAAGTGTCCAGATGGCAAGTTTGTGAGCTGGCGCTGGGGTGGCGAAGCAGGGGCGTTTTTAGATGACCGTCACATGACGTGTGTGACACACACTTACTGAAACACTGTGTCGTTGTGCTGGGTCACTTAGTGGCTGTTATTATCTTCAGACAACTTTTTGCTGCTCAACACTGAAAAAAAGTCGTTTTTTTTTAGACAGATTTTTAAACAATAAACTTCACATATGGAATTAAGTAAACTCTACTAAGTTAAGTAAAAATTAACAAAGAAAATAAGTAACTTTAAATTGGCCAGGAAAAGTTTTTGAGTGTTTTCTACTTGGTTAAAACTCTCTTTGCAGTTCTTTTTACTCCAACAATATGACACAGATTTGTATGGAAGCTTGTTTCCGCCACAGAACGAAAAATAAAATAGGTAATTGTGACTTTTTATCTCACAATTCTGACTTCATTTCTCAGAATTGTGAGATAAAAAGTCAGAATTGATAGATATAAAGTCAGAATTGCGTGTTATAAAGTCAGCATTGATTGATATAAAGTCGCAATTGCAAGTTATAAAGTCAGAATTGCGAGATATAAAAGTCAAAATTGCATGTTAAAGTCAGAACTGTGTGAAATAAAGTCTGAATTGATTGATATAAAGTCGCAATTTCGAGATATAAAGTCAGAATTGATTGATATAAAGTCAGAATTGCGTGTTATAAAGTCAGCATTGATTGATATAAAGTCGCAATTGCAAGTTATAAAGTCAGAATTGCGAGATATAAAAGTCAAAATTGCATGTTAAAGTCAGAACTGTGTGAAATAAAGTCTGAATTGATTGATATAAAGTCGCAATTTCGAGATATAAAGTCAGAATTGATTGATATAAAGTCAGAATTGCGTGTTATAAAGTCAGAATTGATTGATATATAGTCGCAATTGCAAGTTATAAAGTCAGAATTGCGAGATATAAAGTCAGAACTGTGTGAAATAAAGTCTGAATTGATTGAGATAAAGTCGCAATTTCAAGATATAAATTCAGAATTGATTGATATAAAGTAACAATGGCGTGTCGTAAAGTCAGAAATGATTTATATGAAGTCGCAATTGCGTGTTGTAAAATCAAAATTGCAAGAAACAAAGTTGCAATCGTGTGTTAAAGTCAGAATTGATTTATATGAAGTCAAAATTGCGTGTTATGAGATCGGAATTGCGAGATATAAAGTCAGAACTGTGTGAAATAATAAATATAGATATAATAAATAATAAATATAGAAATTATAAATAAAGTCGCAATTGCCTGTTATAAAGTCAGAATTGTGAGATATAAAGTCAGAACTGTGTCAAATAATAATAATAAATAGAGTTGCAATTGCGTGTTGTAAAGTCAGAATTGTGAGATATAAACTTATAGTGAGATATTTTATTTTTATTGAGCTTCCTACATTTTTACCACACCATTTAAGTGCTTATTTTACTTAATAACATCTAAGTTAATAATTCAACAGATATTGTACGGACACTGTTTACATAATACACATAAAGTAGTATTCATCTGAACACTGAGACCTCAATACTTGGAACACAATTACAGTAACATTTGTGAATCGTTTTTGAGTATGTATGTGTCATTTTGAGTAGAAAATGAACTCCAGATGTCCCAAAATGTCAAGTTACTGAACCTAACAACAAATGCAATGACACAATGGACTAAAGAGAGCTGGAAGACAGCGAAAAATCAACCTCATTAATTATTCATGCCCCAGTGCATGATGGGAACATCAGTATCTGAAAAGTGGAGTAGGTCCAGCTGACCAATCAGATCACACTGTGCTTTTCAGGAGGAGGAGCTTCATAGAAGCCAGAACTAAACAGAGTGTTACTGACAGATGAGAGGAGCTGCAACAAATATAGAATATGGGAAAGGAAAAATAAAAAAAAATGAAATTAAGCATGAAAACTCATTTAAGTAAAACCCCCCATAAAAATCAAGACTTTTTAAAAGGGCATAATAGGTCTTCATTAATATAAAGAAAGGTTTACTTGCGTTCAGACATACACTTCAGTCGTGGAGGTGAGCGGATCCTGCCTGCTGCCCTGTAATGAGCATGTCAGAGGATGTTGAAGATGAGTGTGAGGGATTAAGGAGCTGATAATGATGAAGATGAGCACCGGAAGAGTGCCGGTCTGCTCACACTCTCTGCCCCCACTCCTGCGTCCTAATGAACAGTAATCTAATTCCTGTCGGTCATGGGCAGAGAAGACAAAGACGTGCAGATGAAGAACAGAGTCTGGGATCAGAGAGAGGGAGAGTTGGGGCAGGGATTTCATTGATTGCTGACGTGTGTTTAATGCAAATGAAAGACAAATGCAGAGCTGAAACAATCGAGAGCAGCAACACCTCACACAGAATGACTGGATGCATGAGCTGACTTTAGCTGACAGCTTCAGCTGGTGATGAGAATATAATCAGGGATAGAGTGCTCCGTCAAACCGTCTGTCTGCATCACTCACAACTGAACGCACTGGAGTGTGCTTTACTCACAGCAGGCAGCAGCGAATCTCAGAGGAGGAACTACAATAGAATAGAATAGAATAGAACAGTACAGAGCAGAATAGAATAGAACAGAACAAAACAGGGGAAAAAAAATAAAATAGAATAGAACAGATCAGAATAGAATATAACAGAACAGAATAGAACAGAAAAGAAAGGAACAGAAAATAATATAATATAATAGAACAGAATAGAATAGAACAGAAAAAGAAAATAATAGAACAGAATATAATAGCACAGAATAGAACAGAACAGAATAGAATACAAAATAACAAAATAGAATAGAACAGAACAGAAAAGAGTATAATATAATAGAACAGAAAAGAATAGAATATAATAGAACAGAAATGAATAGAATAGAACAGAAAAGAAAATAATAGAACAGAATAGAATAGCATAGAACAGAACCGAAAAGAATATAATATAATAGAACAGAAAAGAATAGAACAGAGTAGAATAGAACAGAACAGAATAGAATAGAACAGAAAAGAATGTAATAGAACAGAATAGAACAGAAAAGAATAAAATATAATAGAACAGAATATAAAAGAATAGAATAGAACAGAAAAGAAAAGAACATAATAGAATGGAACAGAATAGAATAGAACAGAAAAGAATATAATAGAACAGAACAGAAAAGAGTATAATATAATAGAACAGAAAAGAATAGAAGAGAATATAATAGAACAGAAATGAATAGAATAGAACAGAAAAGAAAATAATAGAACAGAATAGAATAGCATTGAACAGAATAGAATAGAATACAAAATAACAAAATAGAATAGAACAGAACAGAAAAGAGTATAATATAATAGAACAGAAAAGAATAGAATATAATAGAACAGAAATGAATAGAATAGAACAGAAAAGAAAATAATAGAACAGAATAGAATAGAATAGCATAGAACAGAACCAAAAAAAATATAATATAATAGAACAGAAAAGAATAGAACAGAGTAGAATAGAACAGAACAGAATAGAATAGAACAGAAAAGAATGGAATAGAACAGAAAAGAATAAAATATAATAGAACAGAATATAAAAGAATAGAATAGAACAGAAAAGAAAAGAACATAATAGAATGTACCAGAATAGAATAGAACAGAAAAGAATATAATAGAACAGAACAGAAAAGAGTATAATATAATAGAACAGAAATGAATAGAATAGAACAGAAAAGAAAATAATAGAACAGAATAGAATAGCATTGAACAGAACAGAATAGAATAGAATACAAAATAACAAAATAGAATAGAACAGAACAGAAAAGAATAGAATATAATAGAACAGAAAAGAATAGAACAGAGTAGAATAGAACAGAATAGAATAGAACAGAAAAGAATGGAATATAACAGAATAGAACAGAAAATAATAAAATATAATAGAACAGAATATAAAAGAATAGAACAGAACAGAAAAGAAAAGAACATAATAGAATGGAACAGAATAGAACAGAATAGAATAGCACAGAAAAGAACAGAAAATAATAGAATAGAACAGAACAGAACAGATTAGAATAGCAGAACAGAAAAGAATAGAATAGAACACAACTAACCAGATCAGAACAGAATAGAATAGCATTGAATAGAACAGAAAACAATAGAATAGAACAGAACAGAATAGAACACAATAGAACAGAAAAGAAAAGAATAGAACAGAATTGAATAGAACAGAATAGAAAACGCATGTGATTTGTACCACGACTCACGACGCTGCATGGTTGATGTGCATGCCAGTGTTCCTCCATTAGCAGTGTCTTGCATGCCGCTGTTGATGTCTCTGGTTCTGAGTGTGCTGGTGATAATGACGAGTGTCTCACACTAATGCAGATGACTAACTGTGGGCCTCTAACTCCTAATCTTTCACCCTATTTCTCTCGCCTGCTGTCAAGTTCTTGCAATGTATGAAAATGTTCTTAAGTGCCCTACGCCTGGCTGCACGGGCCGGGGTCACGTCAACAGCAACAGGAACTCTCACAGGAGGTGAGTTCCTCTCCGTCTGGATGAGAGAACCGCTCATATGTTCATCATAATCATCTTTATTCTGCAGCGTCTACGTTTAGAAAATCACAGCGTTGCCTAATTTCTCCCCGTTCTCTCAGCACATTGCTCAGTTGTACCTTTGATATCTGAATTTCGAATTTAATATATGCAGTTTCAAAGTCAGAATTCTTGGATAACACATGTGTATTTTTATTTTAAAATACTTTCTATTTTAATAAATTGAGACTATAAGTAAACCATTGGTACGCTAACTCCATGAACACTAACTAATGTGTAGTCTGTGACTGATACATTTTAGGCAATCTAATCGGACTACTTTTTTATTCCATTTAGATTACTTTTAGATTACATCATAGATTCAAATTGGATTATTTTGACCCACATTGATATATAGCATTCATTGTTTTTAACAACTTGAAGTGATTTTAACATCACATTACGTCAGGGTATAAATTGTGTCAATGTAAAAAGAAATTAGGGGGAAAAAACAATTAGGGGAAATCATTTCATTAGGAATTTTTTACTTTGTGAATTTTTTTATCATGTAATCATTAAAAAGTAATCTGATTATGAGCATAATATAATATAGTATAATATAATATAATATAATATGATATAATACTGTATAATACTTATTTTTTGTAATCTGATTATATCAGTTACTAACCAGCACTGTGTGGGAATATGTGTTGTTCTCAAAAAGTGGCAGAAATGGATGTGTTTAGGAAACCAGGTTGAAACTTTTTTTTTTTTTGCATTATGTATGTTTGATGTTGCTAGTGATATAAAAGTATAGACTGCTACAAATGCACATTTCCTCAAGCCGCGTTTAAAACAGCATGTTGTTCTGTGGAAGGGCTTTGCGTGTGGACTGGTGTGTGCTGTAATGCTCTCAGCGTCAGCCATTAGCACCTCACTGACACCTCGCCAGGGGAGACAGCCCACTCCAGACGGCCCTGAAACACACACACACACACATACACACTCACCTCGCTTATACTGGCAAGAGTGAAATTACATTTCCTACGGCAGTAAACCTGGCAGCTTGCTTGCAGTTCATGTCATAGATCAAACACACACACACACACCTTCAGAAACCTTTCATATCTCTGTGCTCTGAGCTCATGACACTACCTACACTGTAAAAAAAATATAATAACAATTTGAATTCCTCCAATACAAAAGATTATTGAAGTAATATTTCAGTCTTTCGACTTAAAATTTGCATATTTAATTCATTTTTTTACTTGTTTCTTTGTAATTATTTGTGATTACCCAGTGAAAGTGAAAACTTTAAATCATTCACAATTTTCACTGTAGAAGAACATTGTGTTGCTTTGTATACTCTTTCTTTATATATACACATTGTCTTTACTCAGCATTTTTATCTTGTTTTCCAGTACAAATTCTTAAATCAAGATACATTTACTTGAGATGCAAAATTACATGTCTGTAGCAAGGTTCACGGAAGAAGGAGGCAGGAACCGGAGAACAATCAAATAAAATTTTATTTAAATGAAATAAACAAACAAAATACCCACCAAAAATAAAATATAAATACCTGCCAGCTCCTCACGGACGACTGCTGGCTACCAGAATAAAATATAACAAAATACAAACAAAAGCAGGCCTGTTCTGTTCCTCTCTCGATCATCCACGTCGTCGCTCCCCCTTTATACGCAGTATTCCAGTCCAAATTTTCTGATGAGACTCGATTGCTTAATATGATTATGTGATGCGTAACACGAGAATGGACCTCATTGGTTCCTGCTGAAGCTCAAACGTGCTGCGTAACACGAGAATGAACCTCATTGGCAGATCTGAGAAGCAGAAAATTTCAATTCTTTCTTTGTAATCTTTATGGATTATCGAATCTTACTTCTGATTCTGACTTAATCCCAATACAGCATAAACGAGAACATGTTATATCAGTGATGAGTCTAAGCTGCATAATTTTGTCGTTTGAAATGATTTGTCACTTATTGACGTGTCTTTGTAAAGCCATGATGTCCCTCACATTACTTTCTGTTCACCAGCCTGTCGGGTTGCCCCATAGCGGCTGCAGAGAAACTGGCCAAAGCCCACGAGAAACATCAGCCATGTGATGGAGGAAAATCCAACCAGGCTTCAGATCGTGTGCTCAGGTAACAGACGTTCTCCTTGATAGTGGGGGAAAAAGCATTTATTTCGTACTAAGTATACTACAATTATCATTAACATATTTACTGACATATCGCTTGAGACTTACTGACATCAATATTATAATTCAACTTTATTTGGAGTACTTAATGCTTATTTCTTAATATTAAGCCTAAATTTGTTTTCAATATCACTATTAGTAAGGATAGTATGATATCTGTGTTTCTAATGTATACCAGCACATAAAATGTAAGTACATAAAGTATATAAATGCATTTGTAGTATACTTAGCATGAAATAAATGTATTTAAAATATATTTGAGTACATTTTTTTCCACTTGGGTGTAACCTGTAAAAACAAAACAAAAAATCCTGAATTTGCTAATTTGCTGGAACCTGAATATCTTACAAATAGGCACCAATTTGTGTTGAATTTTTCTGTGCATACTAATGGATAGTATGCACTGATCATTGGCAGGCATACAGCATAAACTGTGTCTGTTTCAGGCCCATGTGCTTCGTGAAACAGTTGGAGATTCCTCAGTACGGCTTCAAAAACAACGTTCCCACTTCGACCCCGCGCTCCAACCTGGCCAAAGAGTTAGAGAAATACTCCAAAACCAGCTTTGACTACAACAACTACGACAGCAGCAACATCTACAGCAAACGGCACTCTGCTGCGCCCAAGCTCCACGGTCGGGACACACTGCCCAAAAGTGATGAGGGTGAGACGTCTGCTCTATCACATCACTATACGCAACTGGTCAAATGTCTGGGCTCGTGAGATATTCGGATGTTAAAAAAATGACTCTTCTGCTCACCAAGGCTGCATTTATTTGATCAAAAATACAGTAAAATCAGTAATATTGTGAAATATTAATACAATTTAAAATAACTTTTTTTATGTGAATATATAGTAAACTGTATTTTCTGCATCATTACTCCAGTCATCAGTGTCACAGGATCCTTCAGAAATCATTCTAATAAGCTGATTCGATGCACAGCAAACATTTCTGATTATTATACATGTTGAAAACTACGTTATGGAAATGCTTTTAAAAGAGCAGCATTTATTTTAAATAGAATATTTTGTAATATTATAAATGTTACTTTCATCTTACACCCAAATTCTAGCGCTTTTCTTAGATTTAACTTTCAGAGTCTTTTTTTTTCGTTATTACTTTTAACCAAAAGGACCCAAGAAACAGCTGTACAGTGTCACATTTATTTTATGTCTATTTAGTTTTTATTAAATATATATATATATATATATATATATATATATATATATATATCTCAGATGTATGTTTCTAGTGTACTAGCTGAACAAAAAGTCAGTTAAAAAAGTAACAAATATATATATAGTTTATAACTACAGTATATATATATATATATATATATATATATATATATATATATATATATATATATATATATATATATATATATATATATATTTATTTAATAGAGTGCTTCAAAACCCAGAAGACTAATTCACCTCTGGATCCTTTAAAAACTTCCTATGGGGAATTTCTGAATAAAAGGTCTTTGGTAAAGTTATGAACTGAATTGAAGGCAATCCAAATGAGCAAGAAGGCAGAAATCACAAGAAAAAGGTAATCCAGAAAACGAGCAGAGAATTAAAAAAAAAAAAATAAATAAAAAAAAACAAGACACCAGGATAACACTCAGAAAGGCAGTGTAATAACATACAAGACTTTGCAAAGAATGACAGAAAACACAGGGCTTATAAAGGCAGAGTTAACAAGGTAATTAAACACAGCTAAAACTATTTCAGCATAATGAGTCCAGGCAAAGGGTTATGGGAAACTTGATGACAATCTGACATTTTGTTCTAGAACGTAAACCACACACTCTCAGACCCTAAACATCCTTATCTATTCACTTATTAGAAACATACGAAGAGTTCAGATGCAAAAGCCTTTAAATGCCATTTGAAATTTTCTTCTTTAATGATGATTTTTGTCAAACTTGTATATTTAAGTTCAGTAATTTCACTTAAATAACAATTAATAGGTAATTATCATTGCCATTTAAGCGAAATCACTGAACTTAAATATACAAGCTTGATAAAAATGATCATTTCATGAAAATTTCACTTAGAGGCTTTTGCATCTGAACTCTTCTACGTCTTATAAAATAATACCTAACAGGTTGAAAATCTGTGTTTGCAATATGGGTGTGTTTTGTAGAGCAATACGTTCAAATATCATCAAGATAACACAGACCTTTTGTTAAAAAGGTATAAATAGAAAACCCCATTATAAAACCCCATAAGGAGATCTGGCGTCTTTTGACGTCATACCTGCAGCTCTATAACCCACACAGGTGTAGTTCATCACACAAACAGCAGCTGTGTCTATAACGATGTCTTCTTTTTCAATGCTAGATCCATTTGCTTATGCCACTTGGTTTGATATTTTGTTGTCCAATGAATATGGACATTTTAAGCCTGTCTTAAGTGGACTGTTTTGGGGGCTGCTTTATGATTATTATCATCTCCATGACTCTTGAATATTTGACTTCTAAGGTCTGAGAAAGCTAGTTGGTTTTCATGAACGTTTGGTGAGGAACTAAAAGCCTCCGAGATCTTCCTTCACAGTATTTCGGAGGTATGGAAATGTATGGAAATGATCTCGAGGCAGATGCATAATGAATGAGGCGGTTTAGGCAAATCACAGTCTGGATTTAGGGCTGCTGCTAATTGCAATTCTGTGCGCAAGTCTGTGAGATCCCCGGCCATGCTTTAATGACCAGACTGGAGGGAGAAGATAGAGGAGAAGGAACTCAAAAGAGAGAGAGAGAGAGGGATGGCAGCAGGACGCCCGGTGGGAGATGCCACTTTGATGCCCAGCTGGTGTTGTGCCTCATTGTGTCTTTTGTCAAACTATAGAGAGTGTCTCTCCGTCTCTCACTTACATCCCAACACCCTCCTCATCATTTAAAATCTCCTCATAATCATCAAAACCATCATAATAAACAAGCCATTTCCTCCTAAAGGGATTTGGCTACAGACACTAAAACGTGAGGTTCTTTAAAAAACTGAGTAATAGAAGCGATACCACTTTATTACAGTATCCGGTACACATCTTACATGTACTTACTATTGTAATAAAAGTAAATTATGCATAATTACAACACTAAATCCTAAACCTAATTACTAAGTTCATGTTGTCAGTTAATATTACTTATTAATTATTTGATGATTACACTGTAGGACACCTTAAAATAAAGTGCAACTATATAAGGAAGGTAAATACATCAACTTAACATGGTTTATTATGAGGTTCAGGGATCAATTTTGAGTTAGTAGTTGTTACTATAGTAAGTACATAGTAATTACATTGTTTTAACCTTGTTAAGTCTGACATATAAAAAAAATAGCGAGTGGAACAGTTTATTGAAATTTTAAGCACAATATAAAAAATAAATCTTTACAAAAAATTGTATGCATATGTGTTTTTGTTGAGTTTCATATTCAGTCTTTAATGGCTCATATAGTCTGATATGGCAAGAACATGCAGCTCAAACTCAAAGAGGAACAACACATTTCATTTCGAGAAACAAACTGAGCAACAATATGCAATTTAGTGCAGTTCCTGATATTTATATTAGGGAAAAGAAGGATTCGGAAAATGTTTCATAACAGTATGCTTGCATAAAATGCATATACATATCAGCAGTCACTGCCAAATATCTCCCGAGGTTATAATAGTTCACCTAAACTAAAGCCATAAAATTAATTACTTGAAAAACAACTGAAATAAAATAAAATATTGCCATGGTAACATTTCTGATTTTTATGTAGGCCTAATTTAACTAAAATAACTTAAATAAAATATAACAAAATGTAAAATATAGTAAATTTAAACTATAATCAGTCCCTCCAGAAAAACGTGATTATGCGATCGCTGAATTCAATGCAAAATTAGCCAAAGTCCCCATATTTATGCGGGGGCCGCATTTTTTCAAATACGCCGCACTTTCGCCGCATAAATTGCCGATTTCCTTGCAAAATATGCGGGGTTTGCATAATTTCATAATCCTCGCATTTTCGTTGCAAAAAAAAGTCACATGTATTTTAGCAGAAAGTTAAAAAATGTTGCGTTTGCTTCACACAAGAGCAGCCATTTCCCTCTGTTTCCATGGGAACGTTATGAAGTGACGCAATTACGCGACGCCGGACAGACTCACGGAGGCGATTGACATCTCACAAATCGAACTCGTATAACTGTCTGTCACACGTTCTACCGCCACATCGTTACTTAATAAACAACATAAGATAAAAGAAGTAGCATCAAACAGAAATTACCCGCACACATGGGGCGTTTGAGGCGCACATATAACAGTGCAGAGAGTTCAACAGGGAGCGCGCAGCTCTTAAAGGGGCCACACCTTATTTACACTCGTTATAGTCTGAAATAAAACAAGATGAGAAATTAAATATTCCCAGCACTTTCTATGATGTAGTATGCTTGCTTATCAAAGGAAGTAATAAGAAATGACTCTTACATTAGTCTAGCGAGAACAGGATGTTGGGGGAATCACTGAAAAAGAGAAATCTTTTTCATCAAACCGCAATTTTTGCAAGTTCTCTAAATTTTTGCAAATTCCTGCAATTTCATCGAATAAAATTGCATAAATATCCCGCATATTCCATCGCATTTTTAAAGAAAACGGGCCGAGCAGGCTAATCAATCAATTTTTGCCCGCAACAATCACAAAAAAACTCAGCGTTTTTCTGGAAGGACTGAATACTAGTATGGTAAATGTTATATATAAATCGCAAATTTTTTCACAAATTTTTGGAAATTACCACCACAAAATCAGTCATTTTGATCGCAAAAATCACAAAAAAAAATCGTGAAATCCTGGAGGGACTGTATAATAGTATCTCAGTGCTATCACAATAAAGCCATTGTTAGGATGTAGATGCAGAAGATCTGTTTTGTGATCTGTCCCATCTGTGTGTTAACCGTCAGCGAAGCGCTACTGCAAGAGCTGGAGTTCGGCGAGCAGCACCTCGAGCAGCTTCGGGCCCAGCAGCAGCAGCAGCCTGAGCTGTGGAGGAGGAGGAGGAGGGGGAGGAAGAGGAGGAGGAGGAGGAGGAGAGAGTAGCGCCAGCAGCACCTGCAGCAAGAGCAGCTTCGACTACACACACGACATGGAGGCGGCGCACATGGCTGCCACTGCCATCCTCAACCTCTCCACCCGCTGCAGGGAGATGCCACAGAGCCTGAGCGGGAAACCCCTGGACATCTGCTCGCAGGTACACACGTGTGTGACATCCCAGATGTCAAAATTGAAATAACTATTGAGTTACGGTAATATAATATTCATTTAGCCAATTCAAATTGTTTGTGTTAATTTCTCTACATCAGTGTTTGAATTTAACTTTTCAATTAAGGATCAATATTTCCTTCCTGGAACTGATTTTTTTTTTATAGGGAGATACTTTGGGTACCGATTGGGTGCACCTTCAGTGCAGTTGCTATAATTATGGTTCATATTAAATTATTATTAAAATATAGCACAACATGGCAGAACTAAATATTGCTAAGATTAATGTAAATTTTTGGGCCAGTCTCAATATTAGATTATGAATCTTTCTACTGTAGATTTTGACATGTAATCAGTGTTTTGTTAGTGGTTTGGGAGTGTTTTTTTCATGTTCATTGGTTTCATGAAAACCAAGTCATATAGTCTACATTTGAAGAGACGGGTTTATTATATTTAACTAAATCTAAAACCATTGAAAACAGTTAATGGAAATAAAATAAAATATAAAAAGATTTTATTATTTTGTTATTTCAGCTTGTTGGCAGATCAGTCTTATTTATTGTTGTCTGTCTTGATATTGTTCAATCACTTTTTCACATATGATGGCGAACCAAACATTCAAGCAGCGTGCTTCTCCCTGTGAGTTATGTGTTGGGGAGCGGATCATGTACTGTCAGCCTTCGAGAGGGCATTGTGTTTGTGTGTCACTTTTTGAGGAAGATGTTCAGGCGAGCTTTAATCATGGTTCTGGCCCCACAAACTAGTTTTGGACTAGTTTTCACAGAAGCTGAAATGGATTGTTCCCAAATGGATCTCTCGGAGGGGTCAGAGACGGGCGCTGCGGTTTTCATCGAACTCGTGATTCAACTTCACCACAGGCTCGTGCCCTCTGAGAAGGGTCAAAATAAGTCAGTCACTGGTTTCCTGCTAGTTATATTTCCAGTAGACCATTGGGTGCGTGCAACGCCAAGGTCATGGGTTCAATTCCCAGGAAAAGTAAAAACTGATAAGAATGTAAATGTGTACCTTGACATGCAATCTAAGTCGCTTTGGATAAAAGCATCTGCCAAATGCATAAAAATTTAAATGTTAAATGTTAAATTTGCTTAGGTTGCTGGAATGGTTGCTCTAACTTAGAGGCCAGACTCAAGAGGATTAGTTCATCTTAGTTCATGGAGGCTTCTGCCAAACATATCTCGATGGGTCCTGCAACCGGTTAATCTTTCTACGATTGGAAAGATTAAACGGTCTGCGTTCACGTCCACTATGCACACTGGTGCACCATCCTCCTGTGGTCCCTTGGGAAGATGTATGCATCCTGCGGTACCAAAACATAGGATCAAACATCCAGACAGGCCAGGGTAATAGAGACTTAACCCTGAGTTGGTGGAGCATATATGGGAAGTTAATGTGGGAAGCCAAGCGGAAGTGGATCTGTTTGCGTCTCCGAATACAACACACTGTCCACTTTGGGTCTCCCTTACACACCAAGTCCCCTGGGGCTGGACACTAGGGTACAGACATGGCCAAGGTTGCTCCAAGGAGTTCTAGAGAAAGTCTGCAGGGGAGGGAATTAGTCCACTACTAGTAGGACCATACAGGGTTTGGCCTCTGAGTGGGCTCAACTCATAGACACTGGTCTCTGAACTGAGGTTGTAGAGACCAAACTTAACTCTAGAGCTCCGTCCATAAAGAAAACTTTACGCCTTGAGTTTTCACTTCTTGGTGAAGTATGCGACAATGGGATCCAGTTAACTTCCCTGTTGGTTCAGTGCTTGAGTTTGTACAAGATCGCTTTTCGGCAGGGCTCCCCCCTTCTACCTCAAAGGTTTATGTGGCTGCCATGCCCTTGTGGATAAAGCATCTTTGGGGAGGAACCCTCTAATAACTTGTTTCCTTTGTGGTACTTTGATGCTGAGGCATCTGCTTAGGACCTGGCTGTTTTTTTAGAAGGCTTATCTTTGGCTCGCTTCGAGCCCCTTGATACGGTTTCATAGAAGTTTGAGGTTAAAAACAGTCTTCCCTCTAGTTATCTCTTCTCTTAAAGGTTCTCTGAGCGATCCTGGGTGTTGACGTTCAGAATATTTTCAAACAAATCGGAGGCTAGCTAGACCCTCCCTCCTCCGCATCTCATCTCCTCCCCCTCCCTTCCGTGCTTCCTGAAATAATTGTGAACGTGCATTTCTAGCTAATTATATCCTTGTGTGGGTTTGGCGAACATAAAGCGTCAATTTAGAAAAAAAAAAAAACAATTTGCCGTTTTTTTGCTCTTCTTTTGCTTTTTTTTTGTCCAGCAAAAACAGAGCAACCTGAATGTCGGATTGGAATCCCTTCTGCTGCCGGAGTTCTCGCCATCGTTCAAAAGCTTTGCTACCGATGTAAATTCGGAACTTCGCACGTTCTTTATCCGACTCCTTCTCCTTTTTAATTTGTTCTTCAGAACGACGTCTCTTTGGTCGTGTTTCGGCCATTTTTCAAACTTCCCTCTTATGCTTCTCTCTCCTTCACACACACACCCCCTTCATGTGCACGCGCACTAACCCCCCAGACCCACCCTCAAATACTTCTTGCCAGTGATTGGCTGGAACACTGTTTGTTAAATTTTGTGGTCCGGGTGAGACATGATTGTTTTTGTTGCCGTTTTTGGAGCCTGTGGTGTCTACAGAGACCGCTTTTTTTACAGTGTGTTTAGGGGACAGGCAGCTAGCCGATAGTGAGGGGACGTTTGATGTATGTGACAAAAAATGTTTTGGCCCCACATCGCTTAGAGAACCTTTAAAAGAGTAGGAGATCTTCAGGCCTTATTTGTCCCCACTTGCCTTGAGTCCGCACCCAGGATGGTAAAGGGATGCAAAACATTTCTTTACCCTAAACCGGGCTATGTCCTTAAGGTGCCGACCAATGTACTGCGGCTCATCGTTTTGCAAGCCTTCTGCCCTCCTCCTTCTAGAGATCAGTACCAGGAAAAGCTGAACCTTCTCTGTCCAGTAAGAGCGCTGGATACATATGTCCACAGAGCTGTCCTGTGTTGAAACCGGATCAGCTGTTTGTCTGTTTTGGATCACATAAGAAAGGTCTTCCTGCATCTTAGCAGAAAGTCAGCAAGTGTATAATTGCGGCTTTCTCTCTCGCTTACTAAGTCTCTGGTCAGCCGTCACATTTGGCTGTCCAACGCATTCTCATCCCAAGGCGTCATAAACGACACTTTTAGAAAAGCGTGAACATCCAACACACGTCACCCTTCAGCATCAAATGAGACGCTTTGGTTATGGTAGGGTTAGGTATGGGGTAGGGTTAGGGTTAGACCACTAGGAGGCGCCTTCTTCCCCATATATATTTGCGTCTCATTCGACGCTAAAGGTTGCCATGTGCGCTGGATGTAAATGACGCTTTGGAATGAGAACGGGCTCGGCTGTGAGAGCTCATTCTACCAGGAGTATGCCAGCCTCCAAGGCCTTAATTTTGGGCGAATTTACCTGAATTTCTGAAAATAGTGCCATATGTGTTCAGTCTTCAAACACACTCGAAGTGCTCAACCAATCACGACACACTGGTTCAGTCGACCAATCAGAGCACATTGTTCTTTTCAGAAGGAGGAGCTTCATAGAGACATGAACTAAACAGAGCACAAAACACGACAAGCGTATCGGTGAGCACACTTGTTTAAACAGCACACACACCCGTTTGACTGCACATCACATTTTTGACATTATTGATACTGCTTGCATTTGTAATACGGGACATACATTAATGGGCTTTTTACACTGTCAGATACAATAAAAGAGCGACAGCACAAAAAACCTGCCTACCTTACAAAAATTTGCATTGCATTTACAATCGTGTGAAAACTAACAATTGTACAAGCAGACAAAGGGAGTTTTACCAAACATCAGATGACCTCCTGCTAACGCTCGGACGGAAGATGGATTCGAGAAAAAGTGGTGCTGAACGCACCATGAATGTTATTTGTGTGGGATATAGGAATTATATCCTCAGATTAACACACACTCATCCAGCAATGATGCAGAGCATGAAATAGGAGGAAAGTAGAGTTGATATTATGTGTGTGTCTGTGTGTGTGAAACATGGAGGCACCTTCTCTCTCTCTCTCTCTCTCTCTCTCATTTGATCTGCTGTCATTCTGATCTGCCTGCAGCAGTGCTCTTCTCTCACTGTCATGGGTTTAGTGTGTGATGCTTCCTCTCCATCTGCACCTCAGCTCAACACATTTATTTCAGTAGTGCAGTATTCATGCAGTCCGTCGTCTCGCAGAGGAGCCGGAGCGCTTGTTAAGCATGACTTCTCTGCTGCTTTTAGCTTTAGGACTCTGATTTTACATTGAGCATCAAATGGTGACTTAAAAATAGCAGCAACCAACATTACTCTTCCAATCAAATATTACCTTGCAGAGTAACTGCAGAGGCTCAACATTATGCAAAATGCTTAATATGACGGGCTTGGACAGGAGAATCGACGTTTTAGCTTTGCATTGTATTTATAATATGTTAATATTGATGGCATTTCCATTTTCTTTGGAGTCCATCAAAACAGCCAATTCTTGTTTTTTATGAAATATTGCAGCATTTACTTAAATGATTTATTAAATGTGCATCTTTGTTTAATTCATGTGGCTGGTAATCTTGAATCAGAATATCTTCCCCTGTCACTCACATGAGATCAACCAATAGCAAACCACAACCATCCAATCAATTCCCCACAGACACAATCAAGCCCCGCCCACATTTGTTCTTGTTCCAGAAGCCATTTCACATGGATATGTGCCACATTTCATCTTGACTTTAAAACAAGAATAAAATATCTGCCAATGGGGTGAGAAAAATACATTTAATGTAATGGGGTCATGACATGAGTAAAATGTTGTCCCATTTAAAAAATCTTGTTTCAAAGCTTAAAGCTACACTGTGTGATTTTTCCCCCCATCTAGCGTTGAAAAGGTATATGACCATTCAGTGAATATTAGTTTCTGTT